TAATGGAAAGAAAAAATGAAAAAAGAGATTAAGGCTGACTGTAGAATATATTGCTGTCTGCACCAAATCTCAAAGGAAACAGGAGATTTAATTTAATCCCACCAGAGGAGGATGCCAGAAAAAGCCCTGCAATCCTTAAGAGTGAATGGCATTAAGAAGTCATTGACAGACTAGGAATAAATCTGGTTGTATGTGGGAGACGCTGAAAAACAGTGACCCAAAATGAATGGAAAAATGAAAAAGACTTAAATACGGTCCTTTAGGGCGGGGGTGTTGGGGGGTAAATGTATTAAAAATGTTTCCGTTGATAGATTAGGCAACCCCATTTAATAATCATTTTCTTTTAAGACTTTCTTTTGATGTTTCTATAAAGGTTGGCAGTGTTAGCGCCGTATAAATGGCTCTTTTTTCATTGCACCAGCATAGCTGAAGACAAACACTGGTAGAAGGATCTTTGAAGTTTGCAAAGGAAAGCTTTACCGCCAACCTATCTCCATAATCTGTTTTCCTTCGGGGTCTTTTACTCATCTTCTAATTCATAACTGCAATGACTGTCTGCAGTGCATCCCTCATCTGACGCACTTTGAAATCTTCAAAGTCTGCTAATTGATGCAGTCACTTTCAGCACTGCCTTTCATGTGGGTCCTGGATCTGTTAAAACAACCCACTTCAGCTATTCCAGTAGCTAGTGGGAAGAGATACCTTCGGTCTTCCCCTCTGAAGTGGGCGTGCAAATGCTTTTTAGCAACCATGAAACATGTCCATGTGTTTACTAGATCTCAGGGTGGTGTTTCTGTTTATATGCCTGCAGATGACCCCAGCTGGGAACATCAAAAGTGGACGGTGAGAAGCAGTTGTGTTTCATCATGGAGCTGCAAAATCTGTCAGAAATAGGGGGATGTATTAGTATTATTCAGGCTCCCGCCCAGGTCCTAATGGCTCAGCTGAAACAAACAGTTATCTTTCCTGCTCTGATAGCTGAATTAGGATATGATTGTTTTACAGATGGTTTGAGTGGGGCTCCCAAACCACAGAGCTGAAAGAAAAAAAAAAACAACAGGGAAGGAAAACAATCCCATCTGACATCATAGGGAAAGCAGTTGCTGAGATTTAGGTCAAGATATGGGGCGTCTGAAGTGTTCCAGATAGTTATGTCCCAAATGCCAAATGTCTTGGCCAGCTGAAATCATGCATTTTAAAGCGGAAAATGCAGTGAAGCTGAGTACAGTCTGTCAAAACCTGTCAGAATATTACATAACCATGGATTCCTTTGTTTAATCAGATTCACAGATTTCACAGAGGCAGACATTTATGCAACAGATTTAGTGTGACGGCAAAAGCCGCGGCATGGGTGGTGATTTCTAAGCTGCATTTGCAGCTGCATGGAGCTAATTGAAATGTTTCAGATCATTTGCAGGCCACTGGATTCAGTGCAGTCATCAGCCACGGTCACAGCATGAGACGCTGTGATCTCCAGAAAACTATCCTTCAATGCTAAGTTGGTGTATTCACAGCTTGTACTTCTCCATGGGAATCTATGTGCACAGATGTGGAGTCCCTGGGAAGGCAGTGCTCTAGTTGACCCCCAGATTTCGAGTTGGATTTTAAGATGGGGGTTGTTCATGCATCATGACAGAAACTAAATTACAAAATATGTTTTTTTTTTTTTTTATATGACATCTGCCTGTTTATTTGCCAGATTGTTTCATTCTAATGTGGGCTGAAGTTCCATCAAGTCGATCAACAACTTCAAGCAGCTGTGAGTGGCGAGTCTGGCCATTACCTAAGGGTGAAACAGGAACACAGAGGGAACTCTTGGCCTGTGTCTCTGAACAATATCAGCTGTTTGGAAAAGCAGAGGATTTAGTCCAAGGAGGTTTATGGTTCTGATGTCAGAGAAAGGACAGGACCAAATTGTAATGGCGATTCAATGGTTCAAATAGGAGGGTAAGTCAAGCTGTACGACTCCTCACTTGGGGGAAGGAGGGGGTGATAGGAAGAGGGACAAGGGTCAGCACCCCCCACCTCCTTGGACATCTTATGCAAAACATTACCTATTGTCACTCATGTGCAATATTCTGTGCAATAACACATGCCAAATACTTTGTAGTCTGTGTAATTGTTCACTTATTCATAAGGTCAGTACATCTCTGCAGAACAAATGCAATAATCCAAGTCAACTACTTCGTAGTCTTT